CCATGCCCAGCTAATTTTTGTATTTTTAGTAGAGACGGCATTTCACCATGTTGACCAGGATGGTCTCGATCTCTTGACCTCGTGATCCACCCGCCTTGGCCTCCCAAAGTACTGGGATTACAGGCGTCAGCCACCGCACCCGGCCTGAAGGACCTTCTTAAGTACATTCACATATTTGACTTATCCTAAGGGTCATGAGAAACGTAAAGCTTTTAGGGAGGGTATGGCAGAATCAGGTGACCATTTCAGAAAGATCACCCTGTGATGTGAATATATGTTGAGAGGCTGTTATGCTTAAGTAATGCAGGTAAGAGATTTTGGTGGTTTGAACTAGGGTAGTGAAAGGGGATGGGAGAGGAATGGACAGATTGGAGACTTCTTTCAGATTGGCTGTAGGGGAAAGAAAATGGAGAGAAAGAGCTCTCTGATCATTTGAAGGTATCTAACTTGGGGAACTGGAGATGGACAAAGGAAAACAGAACTATGGGGGGAAATGATTTCAGTTTGGATCCAGGATTGGAGGTTCCTGTAGGACACCCATGTTTGTGGAGCTCAGAAGAAAGACCTCTTTAAGCTAGAGATAGAGTTGAGATTCTGGAATCCTCAGCACATATGGTAATTGCAGTGTGGGAATGTTTGAGATGGTTGGTTGAGACACAGACAAGGCAAATGAAGCCACAAAGAAGGCAGTTGTAAGAAAGGTAGAAGGTAAATCAGAAGGTTCTTTACTGCTAAAGACTCAGGTAGATGTACTATGAGGCACTATTCTAAGTGCTGGTGATAGAGCAGTAAGCTGAACAAAATTCCTGCACCTGCATACTTTATGTTTGTGGTAGTTGGAGTAGAGCAAACAAATAAGTATATAATTTTAGCCACTGAGAAAAAAAGGGAGAAATATACAAATATAGAATGATGGAAGGGGCCAGGTGCTCACGCCTGTAATTCCACCACTTTGGGAGGCCAAGGTGGGCGGATTGCCTGAGGTTAGGAGTTTAAGACCAGCCTAACCAACAGGGTGAAACCTTGTCTCTACTAAAAATACAAAAATTAGCTGGGTGTGGTGGCAGGCGCCTGTAGTTGCAGCTACTTGGGAGGCTGAGGCAGGAGAATAGTTTGAACCCGGGAGGTGGAGGTTGCAGTGAGCTAAGATTGGGCCACTGCACTCTAGCCTAGGTGATGGAGCAAGACTCCGTCTCAAAAAAAACCAAACAGAATGATGGAAGGGAGGGGCCCATTTGGATGGGATAATTAGAAATGACTTAAAAGCAGGCGTTTGAGCAGAGACCTGAATGAATTGCAGAAATGAGAACATCTTGGGGAAGAGCATTCCAGGCAGAACAAATGGCAAGTGCAAAGGCCCTGGGGTGAAAAAGTTTGGTAGGTTCAAAGAATAGAAAGCAGGCCAGAGTGTCTGTAGGACAGTGATAGAGGGAGAAGATGGCAGGGGCCAGCTCCTGTTGGGCCTGGCAGGTCATGACAAAGAATTGGCGTTTTATTCTGAGTGTGATGGGAAGCCATTGGAGGTTTGACAGTGGGCAGGAGGTGGGGTGTCATGATCCAAATTACATTTTACAAGGATCACTCTGGTTGCTGTTGGGGAATCATTTGTTGGGCTGCTACAAAGGAAACAATGGAGGTGAGATAGGAGGCTGGGACAGTCATCCAGGAGAGTAGGCGGTGGCTTCGATAAGGCGGGTGGGATGAGAAGTGGCTGGATTCAGGGGTGTGTGTGTGTGTGTGTAATCTGATTTTTTTTTTTTTTTGAGACGGTTTCACTCTGTTGCCCAGGCTGGAGTGCAGTGTGCGATCTCAGCTCACTGCAATCTCCGCCTCAGCCTTTTGCCTCAGCTGTTTTTTTTTTTTTTTGAGACGGAGTTTGGCTGTTGTTACCCAGAATGGAGTGCAATGGCACGATCTCTGCTCACCGCAACCTCTGCATCCTGGGTTCAAGCAATTCTCCTGCCTCAGCCTCCTGAGTAGCTGGGACTACTACATGGCGGGTGCCACCATGCCCAGCTAATTTTTGTATTTTTAGTAGAGACGGGGTTTCACCTTGTTTACCAGGATGGTCACGATCTTTTGACCTCGTAATCCACCCGCCTCGGCCTCCCAAAGTGCTGGGATTATAGGCATGAGCCACTGTGCCTGGCCTGTCTCAGCCTCTTGATTCTCTTGCCTCAGCCTCCAAGTAGCTAGGATTACAGGCATGCACCACCACACCTGGCTAATTTTTATATTTTTAATAGAGATGGGGAGGTTTCACCATGTTGGCCAAGCTGGTCTTGAACTCCTGACCTCAGGTGATCCACCCGCTCCAGCCTCCCAAATTGCTGGGATTACAGGTGTGAGCCACTGTGTCCGGCCTGATTCAGATACATTTTGAAATGGGAGCTGAAAAGACTGCATGTTTGGATATATGGGTGTCAGAGAGACAGAGGAATCAATGAAGACTCCTAGGTCTGTAAAGAGTGTCCCTGACTTACTATGGTTTGGCATATGATTTTTTTTTTTTGAGATGGAGTTTCGCTCTTGTTGCCCAGGCTGGAGTGCAATGGCATGATCTCGGCTAACTGCAACCTTTGCCTCCTGGATTCAAGTCATTCTTTTGCCTCAGCCTCCCGAGTAGCTAGGATTATAGGCATGTGCCATCGATGCCTGGCTAATTTTGTATTTTTAGGAGACATGAGGTTTCACCATGTTGGTCAGGCTGGTCTTGAATTCCTGACCTCATGATCCACCTGCCTCAGCCTCCCAAAGTGTTGGGATTGCTGACGTGATTTTTTTTTTAAAGGCTCAACTCTATCTGACAAAATCTTATCCCTTAGTATTTAATTTCTCTTTTTAGAGAGAATTTAAATTTAAAGAATTTAAATTAAACTTTTTTCCTGGCAGGGGTGGATCATGAAAAAAAGGTTGAGAAACACTGGCCTAGTGCAAGAACATAGCCTCTGGGAGTCACACAGGCTTGGTATGAATCCTGGCTCCACTACTTGGACACAGTGCTCAACCTCTCTGAGCTTCACTTTCATCGTTTAAATGCCTACAGTATTAGCATAATAACCTAAAGTACTTGGAAAAATTAAATGCAATGACATGTCTGTTATATTGATAAATACTAATTTTTTCCCCCTCTATCCCCCCTTTCAAGAATAGAGATTATTATTGTTAAGGAACTCCAATAAACTGGGTAGAGACTGAGTCAAGTGGGAGTATGGGAGGCTTAAGCTTGTTGGAAGAAAAAGAAAACAGGACAAGGGAGCTGATTAAATGTAGAGGTGAGTGTAAAGAAATAGGGGAGGCCGGATGTGGAGGATGATTGCTGTAATCCCAGCACTTTGGGAGGCTGAGGTGGGTGGATCACCTGAAGTTTGGAGTTCTTGAGACCAGCTGGCCAACATGATGAAACCCTGTCTCTACTAAAAACACAAAAATTAGCTGGGTGTGGTGGCGCGTGCTTGTAATGCCAGCTACTTGAAAGGCTGAGGCAGGAGAAATGCTTGAACATGGGAGGCAGACTGGATGACAGAGTTAGACTCTGTCTCAAAAAATAAAAAAGGAGGCCGGGCGCGGTGGCTCACGCCTGTAATCCAAGCACTTTGGAGGTCAAGGTGGGGGATCACCTGAGGTCAGGAGTTCAAGACCAGCCTAACCAACATGGTGAAACCCCGTCTTAAAAAAAAAAAAATAAAAAATAAAAAAGGAAAAGAAAAACTGGGAGAGCCCAAGGTAATTCTTATGGGATTTGACACTCAAAGCAAAGTCACCACTAAATGTTCTTAGCGGACAGTGGACAATGGCATCTGAGGAAGATTATTCTGGAGCCTGACATACTACACTGGAACAGAGACCAGAGAAAGGAGCCCACATTAACTGTGGTGGCCTTGGAATCTGAAAATCTGGGTGTATAAAATGTTGAACAATGAGAAGGTTGGGGAAATTAATTATGGTCCCTCTTAATTCTGAAACATGCAATCAGTACAGTTGTTTTGGAATGGTATTTGATGGCACGGGAAAGCACTTAGCATAAAATGTAAGCATACGACAAAACCATATGAAGGCATTTTTGTCAAACGCCTATCTAGGTGGGAAATAGATGATCTCTGGAGTGGGTTCTTTATTTTCTTTTTCATTCTTTTCTGCATTTTTCTTTTTTTTTTGGAGACGGAGTTTCGCTGTTGTTACCTACACTGGAGTGCAATGGCACGATCTCAGCTTACCGCAACCTCCGCCTCCTGGGTTCAGGCAATTCTCCTGCCTCAGCCTCCTGAGTACCTGGAATTACAGGCACGCACCACCATGCCCAGCTAATTTTTTGTATTTTTAATAGAGACGGGGTTTCATCATGTTAACCTGGATGGTCTCGATCTCTTGACCTCGTGATCCACCCGCCTCGGCCTCCCAAAGTGCTGGGATTACCGGCTTGAGCCACCGCGCCCGGCCGTGTTGCCTTTATAATAAAAAAGTTATTTTGTGAAAGAACCTCTAGCGGAAGTTACAGATTTCCAGGGACCCACATACCAGCACTACCCAGATTCGGTGGCCTCAGGAACCCAGACCGGAGGGTGTGGCCTTGGAGGTGCGAGATTCAGGGAAAGCGGGGCTGGGCGCCGCCGCCCCTGCCAGGGGCAAGGACCCGAAGACCAGCTGGGGGATGGGGCCGCAGAGGTGGCCGCGCGCCGGCAAGACCCTGGCCGCGCTCAGGCCAGACCGTCCCCGCTCGTTACGCGTCCCGTGCAGGGCACAGGGAGGAGCAGGACGCCCGCCTGTGGAACCACCCAGATTTCGGGCCGCCGAAAACCCGGGAAGGGGAAAGCCTGAGGGCCCCCTCCAGCAGCCTACTCCTCACCCCGGCCCCAAAGTAGCCGGCGGGGAACTGCGCCAGCCCGCGCGTCCGCTGCGCTTTCTGTGACTGACTGGAGGTGGGAATGTGGGAGGAGCCTTGCGCCGGAGCTGTGATTGGAGCAACCAACGCCGCCCAATCTCTCCCAAGACTGGGAGACAGCGCCAGAGAGGGATGCGCAGAGGCGGGGACTCAGAGGCCTCTATGTGATTGGCTAGCAACTCAGGGAGCCGGGCGCTGTCCCGATGATTGGCAGGCGCTAGACAGCCCTCGGAAACCGCCTAAGCTTCGCCCATTGGCATCCTGAGAGAGTAGGCGGGATTGATTCATCGTGTGGTGCTGATGATTAGCTGGCGGCTGAGAGTTAGGGTGTTAGGAGAGAGCTCGGGGACGGCGGGGGCGGCCAACTTCCTTCTTGTTATTGGCTAGCGAGGTGGGTGGGGGTGGTGCGACGGCCCAGGAGCTGTTTGGGATTGGTGGCTGCTGGCGTGAGTGACAGACAGGGGGGCGAGCTGCGCGACCAGCGGTTTGTTTTTCGGAGCGTTCCTGAGGTGGAGAACGGTGGCCGGACGGAGCGACTGTGGGTCTGAGGGACTGGCGGGCGGGCGGGCCGAGCGGCGCTGCCGAGGCCGGGTTGGGCCGAGCCCAGGAGCGCCCGGGATGTAGCGGGCCACCCTGCTCATGCCACAGCGCCCGGCCGCGGGCGGAGCCGGAGCCGGAGCCTGGGGAGGCGGCGGGGGCCCCGAGCGCAGCCCGCGCCCCCCGCGCGGAGCCAGGCCCGCTGCCGTCCCCGCCGCCCGGGACCGCGGCATGCAGCCCCGGCTGCGGAGGTGACACTCACGGGTCCGAGACGCCGCCGCCGCCATCGCCACCATGGGTAAGTGTCGCCACCGCCCCGGCCTGTGCCCGCGCTGCTTCGCGACGCCCCGCCCCGGGCTGAGGGAGGAGGACCCTGGGCCGCCGCCTGACAGGCATGGACAGCCCTCCCGGCCAGGGGCTGCGGACCGCCGGCCGCCCGCCCGCTCCGCTAGCGCGCCGCGGCCGGGGCGGGGGATCTGGCTCCGCGGGCCCGCCGGGGTGGTCTGGCCGGCAGAGCCCGCTCGGCAGCCCTCCTTCCGGGCGGCGCGGCCGGCGCATCTCCGGGAAGCGGCGGCGGGACCTAGGGTCGGTGCTCAGCGGGGCAGCCTGGCCCGAGCGAGCCGGACCGCGAGCCCGAGGGCGGGGGAGCGAGAGCGCAGTGTGGGGTCCGGGCTGGAGGCTGCAGCAGGCCCAGCTGCTGTTGTGTCTTTTCCTTGATTTGCTTTTTTTTCCTGCCTGTGTCATTTCCTTCCCTTTGCTCACACAGGCCGGCCTGTGAGAGTTCCCGGGGCTTGCTCTCCAGCCCTGTGCGCGCCACAGCGCAGGGGGGGAGGGCGTGCGGGGCTCGGCTCGGAGGCGATAAAAGGGGAATCTGTGATCAAGCGCGCGGTTGACAAATGCGTGCTGCGTGCAGATTGCTGGGGGTCAGGAATTGGTCGGATGCTGCCAGTTAGAATTCACATCCTACTTTTTGAAAAATCCTGTTGCAGTGTTATACGTCCATTATTTTTATCTTGCAGTATCCCCGAAATTGTGTAAGGTTTGAAAGAAACGTTTGCTACACAAAAGAATTTCTATGAAATCATTTCCTTTTTGTCAGTATTTGCAATTTCTGCTGTGAAGATGTAATCTAAGAAAAGCTTTTAATGTCTTCCGCATGTAGCATTGGAGTTGAATTATATTCCATATCCTTTTCGGTAATTTAGCAAATGACTGCTGGACTAGACTAAGAAATAACATTTTAAAGGTTCTTACATCTCCTGGCCAGACAGGTGATACTGTTGTCACAAGTTTTGCAAAATATTTGGTATTGGCCTAAATAATAATAAAAGAGTAAACTTAAGTGAGAGGATCCTTTGCAAAGCCTTCCATTGCTTCTGTGAAGTGCCCATGTGAAGAGGGAGCCTTAATGTTTGCCTTGCCCTATAGCAAGATCAAGTCATTTTTGTAGGAGGTTAACTGTATGCTGTGTCACATTTGCCAGGTATTGTTTTGTGACCCATCTCTACACTCTGGCTTTGAAAGAATTGCCTTGTTCGGGTTCGTGCTGTCCCTCATACAGTATGAGAAGGGTTTGTTCATTTGCTGGGCTTACTGTTTCCTTCCCATGCTTTTCTTCAGAAGTGCGTGCTCTTCTGGGGAAGGTCTGCTATGAGAGTGGACATAAAAGAAACCCAACAAGGCCTCGTATTTATATATAATTCAATAAATATTTATTGAATTTGTTTATAGATGAGACACAGAATTCTTTTCTTCCCCAGGATTCAAACATTTATCTTGTATTATAGAGTTGGAATAAATCTTCATATTAATTTATGAACCTATGTTGTGACAGTGTTTCTTACAAGTTTTCTTTCTTGTCCTGCGGGAGCAGTTGTTAGTCCCAAAGGAGAGTGTGAAATACTTAAGGGTATGTAGAACATCCACTTCCTACTTTCTTGACTGCTACACTAGAGTGCTCGCATGAGTTGACTACATCTCATTATTTAACATAAAAATAGATGTGAACCTGTTCACATTTCGAGACATTTTCAAAAAGTTTATAAGTGCGTGAGTATATTTCCTCCCAATGATGGGAAGGAAAGAAGCTATATAGGCTGGGTCTAGAGCTCCAAAGAAAAAAGGGCCAGCACCTCAGGATTTTCTCATTTGTCCCTCATTTGTTCCCATGTCAGTTGTCCTCATGTCAGTTTTACATGAAGAAACAAACAGCAAGAGGAATTAACTTGCCTGGTGGCTGTAATAGACAAGCTAGTTTAAGAACCACTGCGTTGGCTTTCTTCACTTTCCGCTATACTGTCCTCCCCATATTTTTTGTGAGGGAGAGTAGATGACCTTGATACGCTATTAGAGCTAATGTTGAATTCTCCTTGACACCTGGCTCTTTATGGCGCTCAATGAGGATGTATATACACAGATACACTCACACAGCCTTTCTCTTAAATACTAGTTTCCATTTTGATGATGAAAATTAAAATTCCCAGTTTAGTTAGTTTGCTTTTAGTTGCTGTAGTTCTTTTTTTTTTTTTTTTTTTTGAGACGGAGTTTCACTCTTGTTATCCAGGCTGGAGTGCAATGGCACGATCTAGGCTCACCACAACCTCCACCTCCTGGGTTCAGGCAATTCTTCTGCCTCAGCCTCCTGAGTAGCTGGGATTACAGGCACGTATCACCATGCCCAGCTAATTTTTTGTATTTTTAGTAGAGACGGGGTTTCACCATCTTGACCAGGATGGTCTCAATCTCTTGACCTCGTGATCCACCCGCCTTGGCCTCCCAAAGTGCTGGGATTACAGGCTTGAGCCACCGTGCCTGGCTAGTTGTTGTAGTTCTAAATAAACTCAAGGGATTGGTAAGAGAGAAACACAGACTTCTTCGTATTTTAGTTATACTTGTTAAACTCTAGCCTCGTGAAGAGACGACTAAAACTTATTTGAGTCTCTGCCCTGCAGGTTCTTTGGTTAAATAAGAGTCATGTTTTCCTGAGCTGTTCTAAGCCCAAGTTGCCTGTTTGACAACTTGAGTTAATAAAAACAGGTCAGATTTTATATTGTCTGTTAGCCCCAGTAAATTTCTAGTGGAAATTATTTATCTCTGTAAATAACAGAAATATTTTTTGGCCTTGATACTATGTGACTATAAAAAATTGGGATTGTTTTTTCTTGGTCACACCAGAATTCGTTTCCAGATTTAGTAATTATAGTGGCAAATGCTGTTCATAATACCTGAGATTGTTTATGTGGTCTTTTTATAAATGCAGTCTGGAACTTACTGGGATATATCACTGAAAAATATGTAACAACTTGGAAATGTTACAGGAAACTATAGTGAATGGAGTACATGATTATAGATAGTCTGGTTCTAGTTTGAAGTCAGAATCATTGTGACTTTCAGACACCTTGTCTAGGATTTCGAGGTTATTGGGAGCTCCCTGTTAGAACAGTCTCAATTCAGTTTGGCTAGAATCTGACTACCTACGTAGACTCTGAATAGTTAGCAGCTGTTTTGATTGAAATTTGAATGATAGTTTGACAAATCATCATGGCTATGTCATTACTAGATGCTGTTTTTTTTTTTTTTTTTGAGACGGAGTCTCATTTTATCTCCAGGCTGGAGTGCAGTGGCGTGATCTCAGCTCAGTGCAACCTCCAGCTTCCTGGCTCAAGCGATTCTCCTGCCTCAGCCTCCTGAGTAGCTGTGAATACAGGCATATGCCACCACGTCCAGCTAATTTTTGTATTTTTAGTAGAGATGGGGTTTCACCATGTTGGCCAGGATGGTCTCTATCTCTTGACCTTGTGATCCGCCTGCCTCGGCCTCCCAAAGTGCTGGGATTACAGGTGTGAGCCACCATACCCGGCTGATTTCTGATACTTTTTAAAATCACAACTGGATTTTTTTTTTTTTTCTTTGAGATGGAGTTTCACTCTTGTTACCCAGGCCGGAGTGCAATGGCGTGATCTCAGCTCACCACAACCTCCGCCTCCTGGGTTCTGGCAATTCTCCTGCCTCAGCCTCCTGAGTAGCTGGGATTACAGGCACACGCCACCATGCCCAGCTAATTTTTTGTATTTTTAGTAGAGATGGGGTTTCACCATGTTGACCAGGATAGGATGGTCTCGATCTCTTGACCTTGTGATCCACCCGCCTCGGCCTCCCAAAGTGCTGGGATTACAGGCTTGAGCCACCGCGCCCGGCCCACAGCTGGATTTTAAAACTGAATTTTAGGCTGGGCATGGTGGTTTACACCTATAATCCCAGCACTTTGGGAAGCTGAGGTTGGTGGATCACTTGAGCCCAGGAGTTCAAGACCAGCCTGGGCAACATGGTGAAACCCTGTCTCTACTAAAAATACAAAAACTTAGCTGGCTGTTGTGGCATGCCCTTATAGGCCCAGCTACCCAGGAGACTGAGGTGGGCGGATCATCTGAGCCTGGGAGGTTGAGGCTGCAGTAAACCATGATCATGCCACTGCACTCCAGCCCAGATGACAAGAGTGAGAGATCCTGTCTCTAAAATAAAAAAACAAAAACCAGCTGATTTTTAGGCATCTGTAAAAATTAAATATGTGTCCAACAGAGCATTACTTGGGGGAATACACAGGAGAAGATGCAGTTTTTCTGGTTCTGTGGAAGCTGTTAATTTATTCTTTGCCCATTTCTCAAATGCCTCTTATGTGCCAGGCATCGTATTAGGCTCTGTAGCTGTGTTATCCTGTCCTCGAGAAGTTGCAGTTAGGTAAGATAAAGCAGAAACATGTAAACAAATAAGTGCAAAAGTGTGTAAAGATATACAGGAGAGAGATCAATTATGTTGTTTTGGTGTTGACATATGTAATTCTATAGCCTCCAGTCCTTTGGGTTAATTTCATTAGACATTAAAATGTAGTGGTGGTATATACTGTTTCTTATGAGGAAGAAATGGCTTACTTTATAATATGTGTATAAAAAATTTGAATCAGGCTGGGCGTGGTGGCTCACGCCTATAATCCCAGCACTTTGGGAGGCCAAGGCGGGTGGATCACGAGGTCAGGGGATTGAGACCATCCTGGTTAACATGGTGAAACCCCTCTCTACTAAAAATACAAAAAATTAGCTGGGCATGGTGGTGCGTGCCTGTAATCCCAGCTACTCAGGAAGCTGAGGCAGGAGAATTGCCTGAACCCAGGAGGCAGAGGTTGCGGTGAGCCGAGATCGCGCCATTGCACTCCAGCCTGGGTAACAAGAGCGAAACTCCGTCTCAAAATAAATAAATAAATAAATAAATAAATAAATAAATAAATTTGAACCATCAGTGAAT